TGGAACTTCCAACAGTGGAAAAGACAACTACATAGCCTAATTAGGGGAGAGGGGTCTGTATTCTTCCTCTCTGTAACTCTGTACTTCCATGGGACTGTACATGCGGGTAAAAGCACAAGGTCTGTCATCTCTTTAGGGACCTGTTTTCTATGCCCCAATCCTATCCCCATCTTATCTCTTGGTTTTTTGTGGTTTTTTTTGAATGTACTTAAAAAAGGAACAACAAAAAACTAAGGTTGTAGAATTATAAAATTGCTTCAACCTTAGAACCTTGAGTAGGATCCCCTCAAATGGACTCATATTAGTCCTTAGGGAGTCAATGTATGTGTTGCTGCTTATTTAAATACAGTTCAGTCGGAGCCCCGAGAGTGCCAATGTTTTCCCCACACCTCTTAGATGCCTTCCTCTTCCTGAACCCCAGAAGAGGTGGGTGCCTGAGCGGGGAATCTCAGGTGACTTAACTTACTTTGCCAGTGCCTACTCTATTGAAGAACTGGGTTTTCATTCTCGAGAAGAAACTCGTGGAAGGGCGTGTTTCCTATCACAGGTTCACATGCTGATTTTTTGGTTGGTGAATTTCCTTGGTGTGACTTCTGCCAGGTAATTATGAAGATTTTTTGTTTGTTTGTTTTCTTGCTGAATATTTCATGAAGGCTACGAAGTTAGCACAGGCAAGTCCTGGGTGTGAAAGCTTTAATTTATCTACCTCATTTATTTTTTATGTTTTGTAGCCATAATGTATATTTTCCTATTTTAAGACCATGGAAGTATTCCCAGGCCCTATCTAAAACCGAAGAGTTGATGTATTGGTGGGAAGGCTGAACGTTCAAGATGATTTCGTGATGCCTTTTTTTTTGGTAGTCTCCCTTTGTATATGTGCTATTGAGCAAATGAAACATTGCTTTTGTTTAAAAAGAAAGGAGAAAGAAAGAAGAAAACTTTAACTTCTGGGAGAAAAAGTCTTTCCCCTCTATGTGGAAGGTCCTGACGGAAATGTGGATCCAAGACTCTTGGCCAAAGTGTTGTCTCCTCATCGTTGCACCTGACTTTAGGATCCCCCCCACACACTTTTTTTTTTTTTTTTGCCAAGTTGTGCCTTTCCTTCTGGAATTGTAAGTGAACACAATACTAGTACCTGTTTACACTGTGAAGTGGATATTGTTACAGAAAACACACCAGTGGCTATCTTGACTGTTGAGCTAATGCCTTGTGAATGTATGATCTATGGAGAAACCCCTGTAGTTGTACCTGCTGATGCTGTCTGTCTGTTGGAAAATAAATTTTGAATGTTTTTTTTTTCCCACCAAAAAAAAAAATATATATATATATATATACATACACACATATGTGTGAAAATGAAAAAGGCAAGCCACAGACTGGAAGGAAATATTTGTCTCACGTGTATCTGACAAAAAACTTCTATCTGAAATATATAAAGAACACTTACAGTTTTATAATAAAAAGACAAATGATCCAATAAAGATTTTAACAGGCACTTTACAAAGGCAGGTATACAAATAGATTCTAAGGGAGAGCATATGATCAGAGAAAATAAAAGCTTTTCATAATAATAAAATGAGGGCATCAAATGAATTCATTAGGAAAACATGATAATCATAAATGAGTATTCATAGCAAAGCTTTTACATTTATGAAATGAAAACTGACAGAACTAAAGGAAGAGACAGAAAAATCCACATGAAAGACGAAATTTTTAACAGCTCTCATTCCAAATGTCCCACCTTACAACTTTTCTGCAATGTATGTTACCCTGAATGAGCCTTCTCGGCTTCAGAAATGTCAGGCAGTTGGGGAGAATGAAAAGGAGGAGACCTGTGTTCTGGGACTACATCTGACCCTTAGGATCTTTGAGCAAATTTCATTTAGTCATTCAACAAATATGTATCGAGCTTCACCCATGGGACCCAGATTCCCTAGAGGCAGCAATCTAGAGAAAATCTGTTCTCTGGATTTATGGTTTAATGGAGCACACAGGTGAGTACCTCTCCGAGACTCAGCTTTTGTTTGTGAAACGTGGGCCACAGCAACAATATGGAAACATCATAAATGGCCAGCCACACGTGGATGCACAAATACACTGGGATATAATCATGAGAATCTACATAGCGGTGAAATGGATCAACTGGAAGTACATTTATCAATGTGAATAAATATATAAAGTGAACTAGAGAATGATATATTGGTAGATTATTCATATAAGATTTTAAAATGTGCAAAACAATAATGGATTAAAGGCCCATATCTACAGTAAAGGCAAAAAGTCTTGTATGGGAATAATATATCAAATGTGGAAAAAGATCTTTGGACTTTTATGGTAGGAAAAAGAGGTCTTGACAGTTATAAACGTAAGATAAAATTTAGTAGAAAGATTAGAAGATAAAATGGAAAACATATTTCAGAAACTATAGAAAAAACAAATGAAAATTAGCAGTGAAAAGATATAAAATTAGAGGAATAATCCAGGAGGTCAGGTAACAAAATATTAGGAGTTCAAAAAAGAAACCAGAGAAGACAAAAGGGAGGAAAATGTCAATGAAATAAAAATTTTCCACAACTAAAGTCTGTGAGTCTTCAGGGCCTACTGAGTATCTATCACGATGGTTAAAAATGGATCCACATCCAAGGATATGCATGTGAAGTTCCAGAATATCGATGTATTTGTCAAGATTATTAATGCCAGCTCCTGAAGCAGACAACCCTCAGAAATCTCAGTGGCTTAACAAAACCACTTGTTTCTCATTTATGCAAAATCTAGTGCAGGATTATTTAATTTTTTGGTTTTCCTGGGCTGCAATGGAAGAAGAAGAATGATCTTGGGCCACATATAAAATACAGTAACACTGACAGCGAATCAGCTAAAAAAAAAAATTGCAAAAAAGTCTCATACTGTTTTTAAAACGTTTACAAATTTGTGTTGGGCTGCATTCAAAGTTATACTGGGCTGCATGAGGCGCATGGGCTGAGGGTTGAACAGGCTTGGTGTAACATGTTTCTGGTGGTCTCACTTCATCTTGTAAACGTGACTTTTGAATCATGTATCCCTTGAAATACCTGCGGCAAGAGAAAATAAGACTGAAGGAAGCACACTGGCTTTTAGCTCCCTTAGCTTGGAGGTGACATGTGTCACTTCTGCTGCCAGGCCACTTGCAAGAACATGCTTCCAATCTAACTATGGGAGAGGCTGAAAAACCCAAAGGACCACATACAATACTTGATGTTTTGCATACCAATATGAGTTACAAAAGGAAGATCCTATGCATTTTCAGAGAAAACCAAACTGTTCATACAAAAAAGATCAGGAACCAAAAAGGCGTTGGATTTCTCAATAGCAACATTGGAAAAAGTAAAGTAATGCTTTTAAATTTTTCAATGAAAGCAACTTATACCTAGAAATATTTACCCAGCCAAACTATCAGTCAAGGGTCAGTGCAGAGTTAACCCATTTTCAGACATTGAAGGTCTCAGTTTGCCTTCCATGTACCTTTTGTTAGGAACCCACCACAAAATGTGTTCCATTAAGAGAGAGAAATCAAGAGGAAGACAAAAGATCCAGGAAGTAAGAGACCCAATACAGGAGAGAGGTGAGAATTCTCAGGACGATGGTGAAGGGAGATCCTGTGATGAGAGCTGTGTACCTGTCAGAGAAAAACAACCAACCAACCAAACAAACAAACAAATCAACCAGTCAGATAGTAGCAGGTGAGAAAACTCCAGGAGAGGCTTCTTCTAGAAAAGATAGTTGACAGATTCCCTGGAGCATCTAAATACGTTGAGAGAAAATGTAAAAGGTTGGCACTGAGCTTGTTGAATTAATCATAGTTAAATCTAGAGAAAGCAAAAAGTTTTGCAGGGAAGGAATTGATTAGCACTTGCTATAAAACTCAGCTGTGAGCTGCATAATAGTCATCGTCCCAAAGATTGTTCTAATCAAAGTTGTGATCTAAGTATATTGGGGGATTGGAGGGATGGAAAGAATGTATGTGGCAGAGTGGGCAGGGGTGGGGGGGCAGGACGGAGCCAGACTTCACCTTCTACTGTGAAAACTTAGTTGATAATTCCTAAAACTGGAAAAACAATGTAGCAAATATTTTAAGAGATAAGAAGTAAATACCCAAGGAACCCAAAGAACCAGCAAGAGGAAATGCAAAGGGTTGCCTCAGGGAGAAAGAAATGCAGGGGGTGGGGAAGCTGGGAACTGCTGTTTCACTTCATCAGCTTTGATCTGGTTGACTATGTGCTTGTATAACTTTGATTAAGAACAGTTAAAACACAGATAAACCAAGCTCTTGCGTGATGTAGTATAATACGAGTTTTATAAAATTCTCCGCATTATATTTTATAGACACATATATGGATGTGTATGCACCAAACAGAAAACAGTATTATCTCTGGGGAGGTGAGCCTGGTATAGGGTATAGCAGAGAATTTAGTTTTATTGTCATAAAATGCATTCATGTGTTACTTGTGAAATTAAGCATAAATTAATAAAAGACAAAAATGTATTTTAGATCTGGAATGTAGTGGCCTAATTAAAAGGCCATTTTTGAACTCACCCCACTTTTGCAGAGTTGACAGTGGAAGTGTCAACAGGGAAGGTCAAGCTGAGTAAAGAGGTGACCATGGGAGGAAGTAGCAGGGGAGGTGGCACTGAGGGAGGGACAATGCAGGGGACCTTTACTTTGTCTCACTGTACATAACTGTATGTGATTCATCTGGTCCAAGGCCTACAAAGAGAATTTCACATTTTCAACAAGAAAATCCATTCAGGTGGAAGCTGATTATTATTGTCTCCATATTCTAGCCTTGAGAGAAAGCCCAGATATAGGGTGGGGCTGGACAAGGACTTGCTCAGTGTCAGGCACTGAATTAGGATTGGTGCTGAGTTGCCCAGGAGTTTTATCCATAGTTAGAGCTTCTTACTGCTGAACACTCAGGCAAATGGATCTGGATTCGAATTCCAAGTTCCCTACTTACTGGTCACGTAAGGCTGGCAGGTTCCTTAACTTCTCTGAGCTTTAGCATGCTCACTTAAAATGATGATAATGCATAGTACATCCTTAGTGACTATGTACTATATGCCTGGCACACAGCAAGCACTCAGTATATGTTGATAACAATGAATGCAATAATCAGAAAGTTGGCCAGGTGTGGTGGCTCATGCCTGTAATCCCAGCACTTTGGAAGGCCGAGGTGAGTGGATCACCTGAGGTCAGGAGATCGAGACCAGTCTGGCCAACATGAGGAACACTGTCTCTACTAAAAATATAAAAGTGAGCCAAGTGTGGGGGCGCATGCTTGTAATCCCAGCTACTTGGGAGACTGAGGCAGGAGAATCGAAGCTGAGATGGTGCCACTGCACCCCAGCCTGGGTGACAGAGCAAGACTGTCTCAAAAAAAAAATAATAATAATCAAACCTTTTACTTGCCCTTCCTCCTCCCTCTGAAATCAAATGACATGTTCTAGATCCAAGCAGATATGATCAGGGTTCTCTGTTGCTTTGGGTTATCCATAGACATTAAATGTAGTATTAAACTTTTATTTTGATATATATAGGCATATCAAAAGTATAAATAATAATATATCAAACATCTGTGTACCTACTAGGTATAAATATATTTATCAAAAGTATAAATATTAGGTACACAGATGTTTGATATATTATTTGTACTTTTGATCTAAAGTATAAATACTTCAAAAGATAAAATGCTTCAGGTTCAATCAAAAACTTCCGAGTGCATCTTCCAGTTCCTCTCCTCCCCAGAGATAATAATTTTTCTAAGTTTGATATATTGTTCCCATGCTTGTTTTACTAGAAAGACACGTGTCCATAATCTATTAGTAAAGATTTTTGTGGTAAGGGTATTATGCATCCATAATTATTGACACATGTATACAACTGAGTCATCTGAGCTTCATCCTGATAAAGCAGATCCTCCTCAATTTCCCCTTGTTTTACCAATATCCTGTTAAAAATGCAGTCTTACTGCCTGTGCAGTCCTGTGAATGACAGAGGTCCTGACCCAATCACATGCAGGAAGGAAAAGAAATTCCTCACTCAGAATTCCTTACCTTACATTTCTACCATGTGCGTTGCCTGGAAGAGCCTCTTTGGCCTCAGGGAATGTCAAGAAGTTGGGTAAAATGAAAGGGAGAGATCTGTCATCTGACACTGAGTTTTTGAGGAAACTTCATTCAGTCATTCAACAAATATGTATTGAGCTTCATGTATGTGCCCAAGATTCCCTAAAGGCAGCAATCCAGATGCAATCTGTTCTCTGGATTTATGATTTAATGGAGCGCACAGGTGAGTACACATCTCTGAGACTCAACTCCCCTCGGCTTTGATTTGGTTCCTGGATTTCTGCCTGTTCCTCATTACCCGACTTGTTGCCACAACCAGATGCACCTTCCAGCCTAACTTGAACTCTTTTGAAAGGCTCCAAGGGAAGCTCTCTCCATGCAGACAGCAGCTCCAGGGAGGCTATTATGTTCCCAGCAACTTCAGAATGGGGGTTGGCACTTCCAGGCAGAACCAGTCCTGTGACATGTGAAGGCTTAATTTACCCACCCAGAATGAAGTGCCCGCTGGGCACTTAATTCACAGTCTCCTGTTTACAGGTTGCTCCAGCCCTGCCGGCCCCTGCTTCCACCCCTGCATGGGAGGTCCCGGTGGCTCACTGCAGGCCCTGTGCCCTCTTCATGACATACTGCGCTGGGATGGTGTCCTCTGTGGAAACCTCTTGAGTGCAAATGGCCCCTTTATGACAGAAACATAAGAACATTCCCCAAGGATGTTGTTTGCCACGGTAGTCCGTCTACAGATTTTCCCACCAGGATCCTGGATCAGGTCCAGTTTGGAATTACCACTGTCATGAGAAGGGAACAGATGACCGTGGAATGAAGTAATAGCCCTTCCCCCTTCCCTCTTCAACCCTTTGATTTCAGAGGATCTGTACTCACTATTAGTGGTCAGGAGTCCAGAAGCTTCTTTTTGAATGAGGAAGATGTGGGAATGAGAGGTTTTTTAGGCACTTAAACGTGGCAACAAATAACCCACAAAACTGCTATCTGAAGCTTGAGAGACCCTTGCTGTGAACCTCCCTGGATCTTAGCCAGGAAAACAACTCAAGCCAACCCCCCAAATAGGCTCCTTGCAGACACCTTCTTAAAAAGAAAAATAAAACAAACTCTAAAAAAAACAACAAAAAAATTCATCCAGAAGCAGTAATAATATTTGTAGAATGCATTTCTACTGTTGCTCACTTGGCTCAAGTTTATCTGTGAAAAATATGTTATCGACTGACAAATAGCATGGCTGTCAAGAAATTTATCACCATTTTCCCCACAAAGCAGCAGGTTTCAGATTCAAATGAGGCTCTGCACTGTGATTTCACCTTTACCAAGGCTGTCAAGGAAAGGTCTGTGAGGTGTGGAGAAGGCTCCTGCTGAAGGTGGTCCCCACATTATTCCTTGCATTTTCTAGAAGGCCTTTCAGATTGAATAGATGGCCATTTATTGAAAAAGGCCAGCCGGCCACAGTGACTCACCCAGCACTTTGGGAGGCCAAGGTGGGCGGATCACAAGGTCAGGAGTTCGAGACCAACCTGGCCAACACAGTGCAACCCCATCTGTACTAAAAGTACAAAAATTAGCTGGGCGTGGTGGCACACACTTAGTACTAGCTACTCAGGAGGCTGCAGCAGGAGAATCACTGGAACCTGGGAGGTGGGAGTTGAAGTGAGCTGAGATCGCACCACTGTACTCCAGTTTGGGTGACAGGGGGAGACTTCGTCTCAAAAAAAAAAAAAAAAAAAAAGAAGGCCCACATTGTGTTAGATATACCTCACTATGTAGGCACTTTTGCAAATTTTGGCTCTTTTGAGCTTCAGGACAACCCTTCTTGGTAAATAATAGCACTAACTCCATTTCACAGAGAAAATGAAGATCAGAGAAGGGGAAGCAACTTGCTCAGAAAGTAGCAGATTATTCTGGTTTTATGAGCTGAGTTAGGGTTCCTTACTGTCCTTACAACCACTTATTTATTTTTTAATGACAACTTAATGGGAGGAGTTAATAAGTGACTACACAGGGTCACAGCCATGTCCTGGCATTTTAGAACTGTGCCTTGCAAACCTGACCTCTACCTGAAATTCTGGACTTATTTCCAACTGTCTATTCATCATCTCCCTTGGATAGCTAGTATGCTTCTCCAACCTGACAAAGCCAAAACAGATCTTTTGAGGTTTACCCCCAAGTCAGCTACTCCCATAGTTTTCTCTATTTCTGTAAGTCTCCCCACTATGTACCCACCAGCCCAAGCCAAAGTCTCATCCACGAGAAATCCTAAAAAATACAACATAATCAGTGCACTTCTTTCTTCTCTACCACTACTGCTCTAATCCTTTTTCTGTTTCTTACCAAGATTACTGTGAAGAGCAGTAGTAAGCCTGTCCTCTGGTTCTTCTATTTTTCCTCCTCCCCTCAATCCCGTCTCCATTTTCCATACACAAATCAAATAACCATGCGATTTCTTACTCAAAACTCTTCAATGGCTTGACCCTTCAGTGGCTTTTGGGTTAAAATCATAACTCCTGCATGCCTTCCTTATTTGACCCTCCTCTCACACCAGCCTCACCTTCCCCACCATGCCAGCTACTCTGGCATCCCCTCTGTTTCTTGAACATGCCAAGCCAATGTCGTTCCTACCTCAAGACAGGTGTTACTCTCTTTGCCTCTGATTGTTGCATGCCCGGCTCTGCTTGGCATTAGACCTTAAATGTCTCTTCCTCAGAGAAGTCTTTCCTGATCACCCAACTTAAAATAAAACGCAGTTATTTTCTATGACATCATCACCCTTTCCCTAATTTTTCTTTAAAGTACTTACAGATATCTGGTTGTATCCATGCACTTATATATTTACCTCCCCGTGTAGAATGTAGATTTGGGTCTTTCTTGTTTATCTCTTAACATCCAGAACAGGTTTCCCCAATACCTAGAACAATGCATGACACATAATAGACATATCATGTGCATGCTTTTGTGGTCAGCAGCAAAGAATGGTTTCTGGGAGATTTTTATAAGTGTCTTCTATGACCCAGTCTTCAGAGGTAGAGATGTACACTGTTCTGTGTTATATGTCCAGATAAAAAGATGACAATTTCAGAGATTAATGTTGCAATCAAGGACACAAACCTAGTTGGTGACAGAGTTACAACTAGACCTCAGGTCTCTTTTCAAGGGACCACGATCATCTGTCTCCATGATGTCAAGGGCTTGCTGTGTGACTAGTGAAGCCTTCTTCACCTTCCTTAAATAAAAGTGTTTCTCTAATTAATTCAAATAATTCACTCATTTATTTGATGTTCATGCATGTATTCAACAAACATATACTCGATGTTCAGTGTTTCCAAACACTTTGATATGATTGTAGAAAATGTTCTGTATTTGTGGCTTGAGTTTTCTGAGAAAAAAAAAAAAAAAAGGGAACAGATTGCAGCTGCTGGGGGATTTCCGGCCAATCAGAAGGAACATTTGAGTCAAGAGCTGAGTCTACTCCTAGGAGACCGAGAGTTGGCCTATGGGAAAAATTCTCAAAGACTCCATTGCCCCCCACATACCCCTCACTGTTTGTCATCAGAAGTTATATGGGTACCACTGTGTGTGGACCTCTGAGACTAACAATGTGGGAGCCCTTCCCCATGGACCCTTGGCTTGACAGCCTGGGGTCTAGTGGAAACTTTACAGGCATGTACAGGTGAAGGCAAACGGTCTGACTCATGGCAGAACAATGACAAAGATGTGCTGGACCCTGGCCTTTTTGGTCACATTTTGAGCCCTTTGCCCTACTAGTCCTGCCCTTCCCTAATGTTACATACCTTGAAGAAAGAAACTGAACAATATATTGTAAGCAAATGTCACATGAGTGAGCCTATCCTGCTACTTGAGTTACATTTCTAGTTCTCTCCCTGCTTGGTCCCCCCATCCGAATTCCCTATCTACTTTTCCCCATAGCATTTATTAGTTTGAAACCCGCTAGATAATATATGACTTCTTTGCTTATTGCAGCCTCCCTCCAGCAGAATGTAAGCTTCTCCATGAGGGTGGGATGTTTTTGTCTACTTTGTTCACTTCTGTATCCCTAGCACCTTTACGAGTGTCTGGACATTAGAGATGATTAGTAACTATTTGTTGAATGAAAAAATGCATCAGGCATCACAAAGTATGCAATATTTTTTGACCTAGAAATTCTATTTCTGGAAACCCATTCTTCATAAATAGGCGTGAATGAATGGAAAATAAGTGAACTAGTATTGTTCATTTTCTTATTACTTAGAAGTGCGAAAAATGAGAAAAAGCATTAAGCAATAAGGGGTTATTTAAGTAAACTGTTGTACATTTATACAAGAGAATGTTATAGCCTTAAAATTCATGTTTGAGAAGAAGAATAACAGGGGGACACGTTAGGATATATTGTTAAATACAAATAATGAGTATCATGTAATTTGATTGCAAATTTGTAAAATGCCCATGTATGCATGTACAGAAAATACAGTGGAAAGATAACCAAAAGTTGACAGCAGTCATCTCTGGGAGATGGAGTAGCAGATTATTTCAATTTTCCTTTTTTGTGTTTTTCTCTGTTTTGAACTTTTCTATGATGAAAAGAGGAGACTGGTGATGGTGGATGTTTCCCTCTGCCCTGGAGGACTGGGAGAAATGGCCTTCTCTTTGTTACCTCCAGGTAACAGCAACCTCAGGAAGACCCCTCTCACTCTGATGCTGGGGCTTGGCCATGTGACTTGTTTCAGCCAATGGAGCTTTAGCAAACATGAAACAGAGTTTTAAAAAGGACTGATGCATTGGGGCTATCTTGCTGCTGGGAGTTCTTCCCCCATCAAGAGAACAAACCTGCACTGACAAAAGATTGATGGGTGAACAAACCTCAGAATAAGAAGCTATATGATGAGAAGCTTCAGCTATCCCAGCCATGCCAGTCATCCCGAGAGACCTCAGACACGTGAGTGAGGTCATTCGAGACCTCACAATATGGTGGCTACTAAACATTTAAAACATGGGTGAGCCACATGCAGATGTACTGTATGTATTGTATGAAATGCATACTGGATTTTGAAAACTTGTATGATAAAACAAATGTCAAATATTTTATTAATAATTTTTCTTTAAATTATATATTGAAATAATATTTTGAGTACCTTGGGTTAAATTTTAAAATATTATTTAAATTAACTTCACTAGTTTCCTTTAATTTTAAAAAATGTGGCTTCTTGAAAATTTTGAATGCATACATGGTCTGTATTATATTTCTGTTGGACAGCTCTATCTTAGACCATGTAGCCACAGCCAAGTCATCTCAGACCAAAACCACCTAAATGACCCAGAATCGAAGTACATAAATTACTTGTTGCTGTAAATCACTGATTTGAGATCTTTTGTTCTGTAGCAAAAGCTCCCTAATATCACAAGTATACTGTATTTTACAGATCCTACCAGCTTCACTTCTTGGTCTTATAGGAAGGAGCCAGAGTCCCAAAGAAGTCTGGGGAGAGCAGGATGTGGCAGAGAGAACAGTGACCGATGCCTTCATGTGGAACAGGGAGCATTGGTGAAAGGCTGCAGAGTTTGGGGGAGGGAGAGACTGAGGGTTCTTGGCCTTCTGAGATTCCCAGTCTGGAAGGCACCCTCGCTCAGCCTGCAGCCTGGAGAGCAGAGGCTTGGGAAATGCTGGAAAGGCCCTTTCTCCCCTTTCCCACTCACACCCTCCTTTCCTATCTGCCCTGTCTGTGCTCTGCTGTCCTATCCCACAGAGTTCTGTGGGAAAAAACACTACATCAACAACAACAAGATAATAAAGGGCATGTCAATGAGAGAGCAGGACAGGGGAGGGGGAAAGGGCGATTTTGGCAGCAATACCCCGTCATCTAGTGCCTCTGCACTTCCCTCACCTCCCTCCTCCCTGAACCAGATGGGACCGGAAGGCAGAGCTGAAGGAAGCCATAGAGATCGCCCACCTAACCCCTTTCTCTTACAGATGAGGAAACTAGGCCCCAAAGACATTAGCTGATTTGCCTAGGGTCACACAAGAAATTTGTGATGGTCAGATCAAGAATTCAGTTTCCAGGCTCTCAGTCCAGTGCTCTTTCTGCCACTCCCCATGATACCGACTTGTCAGGTATCAGTAATGTTACACTCAGCCTTGGCTTTTGGAGACCCATTTCCAAGAGCAGTGTGAATCCAAGGATTTCTTTTGCCTGAGCACTGTTTCTCTCTCTGAGCTGATTCCTCCTCTGCTACTTACCTTTGGCTCTAAGATGTCAAAAGTTCAGAGTCCATTCCCATGGAGGCCTCTCTCCTGCAGTGCTCTCCTTGGGTGGACTCTCATTCTGCCCCTCTTACCTTCTGCTGTATGTTGACTAAACAGAGCTATGAGC